CTTGCTCCCCCCCCCCGTGGTTGCAGACTGACCCGGAACCGGTGGGGAAAAAACAACACGTGATTCTGACCCAATGTCCATCCTATGTGTGAATTCATACTATCCCAGCTAGGCCGCTATCGGTTCCCCCCGCCATCCTCTGCAGAACATATTATGCGCGCGCGGTCGTTTATCACAAATCACATGTTTTCAAAAATCTCTTGCAGAAAATGGGACGAAGTGCGCGCGCGCGCGTTGTCGCGCGCGCATGCCGAAATCCTTCAAAAACTCGGTTTCGGAAAAGTTTCTCAATCGAGTGTCCAAAAAACATAGAACCACAGAGTTTCGCAACGCGGATTTTCAACAACAGCCTGCGCGCGCTCTTACGATTTCTGACGAAAACATTTTTTGTGATATTTCAAAACATGCTACCAAACGGGCTTCGCGAGCGCGCATGTCGAAATCGTTCGAACGCCCTTGCGTGCGTTCTGGGGTGGCACGATCCGTGTCAAATAATACCATGCGCGCGTGTCGAATTCTCCCCAAAACCTTCATCACCGACGCGAAGACGCCGTTATTGTCGTCGGCGTGATTAGCATCGTCGCCGTCACTGGCTGCCCCGTCGTCGCTGTCAGCATCGCCACCAGCATCACTACTATCATCATCGTGTCTACCGTTGTCGACGTTGCCATGATACCGCGCCCGCCCAATTCTTCGACTCGCGCTGAAGTGCCCGCGGGAATTTGCCGAGCGGTCAGCGCCACCGCGCTCGCGTTGGTCGCGCCAAACTAGTTGGCCGCTGCGCGCGCGAGCATGCGCGGGCTAGCGCGGCCGCAGAGATGCACCAGCCAACGCCCAGCACTCATCGCAATCGCTCCTGCATGGGTTTTGTAAACCAAGTTGCGGGTGGGGGGTTGGGATGGCTGCGCGAGCAGTGGGGTTGACAATTCACTACGAACAGACCTCAATTCTCTTTCCTGAAAGAAGAATAGATTCCCTCCCCAAGGATTTCACGGCCCCCTTTTCGTATTGCAATTTTACATATGATTCTGCCCCATCGTCCATCCTCAATATGAATTCAGACTATCCCAACCAAACCGGTACCACTCCCCCCCGCCATCCTTTTGCAACAAAAACATACGATGCGCGCAGACTCGTTCATACAAAGCACACGTTTCCAACAACCCCTTGCAAAACATACCACAAAGTCATCGCGCGCGCGTCCATGCCAACATCGTACCAAACACAATGTGTTGGCAAGCGGTTCAGCGTACAAGCCTAAAAAGAGGTTTGTGCAACCGACTTTTTGTGCATTTCCTGTCCGCGCGCTCAGTTTAAAACCATGCAGCAACCATCGGATTCTTATGCGTTCTGCCAACCCCAGCGATTTCATGGCACCGCGCGGTGCACCCGCGATACTTCTGTCATGCGCCGAGGGCGCGAATCCCTTGCAACGAGTACCGCGCGGGCCGCGTGCGCGCGCCGCCGCGCGCGCATGATCAGTTTGACGGATTTGTTGAACTTCCGCTCGCGCGGATTTCCCTCTCAACCTTGTCATCGTCACCGCGATCGCCTGCCTCATCGACAGATGGACATCAGCATCGTCAACGTGTTCGCCATCATTGGCGCCGTTATCGTTCGTGCCGCCGCCTTCTTGAACATCGTCGTCGCTGTTGCCATCTTCGTCATTGTCGCAGACGTTGCCGACGTCATCTTGTCATCGCGCGCGTCCGGGTTCCGTCGGTATGCTTCCTTTCATCATCGACTCAAGGTGGCGAGCATCGGCGCGCCGCCCCCCGCATCGTGAGTTTTGCCAAATCAGTTGCGGGTGGGAGGGTGGGATGTTTGCGCGAGCAGTGGAGGCGGTCGAGCGCGGTGCAGGGTAGTCAATTGCATCACATATATGGCACAACGTCGATTGCACCGCATACATTGCGCGCCACATCTATTCTCCTTTCTAAACGAAGAATAGACCCCCCCCGGAGTTAGCGATCCCCACCAGGGGTATTGTGATTTCATATTGATTCTACACGCTCGTCCATCCTAAATATGAGCTCGTATTTCCCCAGCCAAACCGGTATCACTCCCCCCCCGCCATCCTCTACAACAAATATTATGCGTGAGCTCTCGCTCAGCAAAATTCACAAGTTTTTCCAAGACGCCGTTGCAGCTTACGGGACGAAGTGCACACGCGCGCGTCCTTGCGCGCGCATGCCGAAATCCTTTAAGAATTTTTGTTTTCGGATGTCAAGCCCGAGTTTTTAAAACAAGCACGCAAAAACATATGGTTTCGCAACACGGATTTTCAAATAAAGCTTACGCGCGCGCTTTTGCGAAATAGAACAAACCATGGTTTTTCGATCTTTCCCCAAAGCACTACCAAACGGGCTTCGCGCGCGCATGCCGAAATCTTTTGAACGCCCTTACGCGCGTGCCGTCAGAAGAATCCTCTGCCAAAAAATTTGACGAAGTACAGACGCGCGCGTCGTCGCGAGCGCATGTTGGAACCTTTTCAAAAACGCTCGGTCTCGGAAGGGTGGCTTTTGTTATTTTCATTTTTCACATGTGTGTATGTATGTATGTATGTATGTATGTATGTATGTATGTATGTATGTATACATATATATATATAAGAAACTGTTTTTTATTGTGAAAAAAACAATAACACAACCTTTCGCAACACGGATTTTCAACAAAATCGTGCG